AATGGAAATGTTTTATGTCAGCCCTCTCCAACATGGTATAGCCACTAACCTCAGTGTCTACCGAGCGTTTGAAATGTGGCTAGCATCTTTAAGGACATGATTTTTAAAAATTGCACATAACTTTAAATATGCACAAATTGTCATTAGTTACTGATTTGGAGAGCACACTTCTAGACTAAATTTTTTGCTTACGGAGCAGTGGTCTTACAGTTGATTATTTGGCTGCTTTCTGACTCTGTGGTTTCATACAAATGACTTAACTTCTCAGTGTCTCGATATTCCTTGCTTTAAAATAGGACTAGTATGGTACTAATTTATTGGGTTGATAAAAGACACTTAGATCAATGACTGGGAAAGAGTGAGTTCTCAATAAACACTAGCTGCAGTAAATTGCATTGGGCCCACTATTATCTGCTACTGGCCTTTTATTATAAAATTAACAATTATTGAGTCAAGTACTGATTTTCATTGAATATTAATGGAAATGGATAGAAACCTTTTGATGTGTAGGTTTCATTGTCCCATCTTATAGGTGAAGAAATTTAGGTCCTGTTAATTTATTGGCTTGCACTAAGGCATATACCTAAGAAAAGAATGGCAAAAGTGGGACTGAAACTCAGCTTTCTTGACTGGAGATCCGAACTCGTTCCATGTCGCCACAGATGTCTGGCTTTCGACAGCGTTTGGGTCCCTGCCGCCCTCCATTCCCTTCACGTGGGTCCTGGTGCTGGAAGCTGGCAGGGCCACCTGTCTGCAGGGACCACCTCGCGTTCTCAGCGCTCCAGGCCCTCAGCTGCCAGTTGCTGAGCGTACTCATGTAATCTTAATGAACAGTGTGCAAAGCCATTAAAAACTCAATTAGGACTTTCGTTTTACTGCCGACGTGAGGAAATGCGATCCTGAGGTGCTCATGTGTAAACACAATAGTCGCCATCTGCTACAGAGAAGTGTTTTGCCTCCAAAAAGGGGATCTGTGTTACAGACACATCAGTAACGGGGTGCTTATCAAGGCGTTATTATGCACGGAGGGGGAAAACCGCAAAATTTATGGCCAGCCAGAGAGTGCTTCCTGGTTTAATTCCACAATTTTCAGTGTTACGTGTAATAACTATGAGGAAACTAATGCTGTTTTATGTTCCTTATCACGTTACTAGATTTTTTTTTTTTTAAGGGCAAAGGGAAAAGAATGTATTTACAATCTTCCTCTTTCTTGTTTTTGACTGATCTTGGCATAATGACTGGCTCATTTTTGATCTCCAGGGAACTGACAGCCCCGGATGGTATTAATTATCCCAACCTGTTGATCAAAGAGGGCCCCACTGAGTGTGGCTACATTGATCCTCACTCTTGAGCACTCTCAGAAATAGTAGCCTGTGCTCAACTCAGAGACTTGGCCGTCTGCCCTTTTAGAGGCCATGGCCAGGCCGCTGGAAGGTGGGCTGGATGTGGAAGGAGCTATAGATGTCCTAACCTACCTTTCCAAAGGCAACACCTCTCTAGCGGCCCCTGTAGCGCCTTGTTTCTGCACCCTTCCACACTCTATCCGCTCTAATTTCAAATGTCTTCCAAGTTACTGCCTAGGGTTACTGTTCCTAATGATGTCCCTATTTAGAGCATCTTGCAGCTTTGCTTAGTAACTATCGTTTCCAATCTTATCTCCTTGAATAAAGAGACTGGGAAGAAATGGGGCCCCTGCCAGGGTGCCAAAGTAATAACAATAGTGCTAGCTGTGGAAATAACAAGCTTCAAAATTTCAGTGGCTCCATAACCCAGTGAGAGTTTATTCTTTTTTTACTTAAAGCTCCAAATCAGTATATCTAATAGATGAATTCCTGCAGTACAGTCATGATCATTCGGGAGCAAGGATCCTTTGATGCTGGATCTGTCTACCTTCAATGTTCTTGAAACCTTGAGTATCCAGCTGGTAGTTGGGGAAAGAGAATGGAACAGTGATGCTCACGTTTCATTGTGCATAGATACTACCTAGAGATCTGGCTAGTAGGCATATTCAGATTTGACAGGCTTGGGGTGAGGCTGAGATTTCAAATTTTTACAAGCTCTTAATTCTGAAGCTGTAAGGCTGAAGACCATCTGTTTTTTTGAGAGACAAAATGGTGAAGGAAAGAGGTATGGAGGTTGGAGGGAGGTGCTTTAATAGACTAGGCCTGAAATAGGTACAGAGCATACGCATGCTCTGTTGACTAAAACTCCGTTGTATGTTCCCAGCAAGCAATGAAGGGAACATGAAGTCACATAGACTGGAATGAACCCAATCTCAACCAGCTTGCACTTCTGCTGAAGTTAGGAGGAAAAAAAATGGGGCCCTGAGCTGGTGGAAGGAAAACTCTCCCACTTCTCTACTGAGGATTAGGAGCAGTCCAGAGTCTATTTGCACCTGCTACAAATTGGCAGGCACAGGAGCTGGAGTGTGGATGAGGGCCTCGTGGAATCTGGAGTGGAGAGAGCCAGACACACCTTTCTTCTCAGGCTGCCTCCTCTGTGTTCCTGTGGGAGTTGTGCCACTACTTGGAGACAGGGGTAGGCACCCATCCTTCATTTGAAGGAAACCTGGACCCTTGTAAGCAACAGGACAGCAGACAGATATGGCTCTGGATGATGGCTCAGTCATGCCTCTGAGCTTCAGTACCCCTTCAGTAGTTTCTTCCTCCATGCCTGGTTGTGAGGTTATGATAATTAGATAATGTCTATGACCTGGAGACATGTCTCCATTTAGCCTAAGTTACACCCAGGCCCTAAAGTAAGATATTTCACTCTCTTTTGAATAAGTTACTTCACATCCAGTGCCTGGTGAATTTTATGACAGGTTGAATGATCAAAATATGGAGGCATTTAGTTCAGGATTCTCTGTCTTCATCATCTGGCTTCTTATTGATTCCTTTTTGGTTCAAGCCCACCCAGCTGTCATAAGTAGGTATCCCAGAGAAAGTTATTGTCCTAAGAATCTGGATAGAGTTTGGGTGGCGTCTAGTCCACCCAGTTGCTCCTCTTGCTATTTGCAGGTGGGGGTTACAGGAAAACTAATTTAGCCTCAAGTCTATAAGATACTTCCTGTAATCCATCTTTGTAAATAATAATATGGAGGTTTTGAACTCAATTGCTTGCTATGTCAGTTTATAAATTCATTTGGAACTCAGAGGAGACAGGGTGTAAATGATTGGTGCCTTCTAAAACCCAACAAGATATGAATTGCCTGACACTTATTAAGTGGCATCTGTTAGTTCTTCTGGCGTTAGGGTGAAAGAATTAGGTGACTTATGTCTGCTAAAGTGGGTCCTCTTGACTAGGATAAGTTGTTTTACAGTTTTGTTCTGAATGAAGATTTTAGTGGTTAAAATGAAATTTCAAAACAGCAGTAGTCTTCTAGGTAAGACATTCATCCCAGAGTCACTCATGTTTAGCTATCCTGTTTTATGATGCAATTTATTTGGTAGAATCATAAGACTTTAAGTCCTAGCATTCAGCCTTTCTAGTGGATTGTGAAATTCTCTGCAGCATCTCTTTAGTTTGTCCAGGCTGTGTCACCTGTAGTGGTGGAAGAACTCTTTCTCTGGGCAGTTTTTGTACCAGCTACGCCCACTGGAAAGTTCGTGGCATGTTTTGTGGCAGGCTTGCTGCATATCAGCCCAAAAGGAACTCAGTGGCAGATGAGAATAAGCATTTATTCTGGTAGTCGTGGGTCTGTGCATTCATTATGGGGTTGGGTGGTCTAGGCTGAGCTTTGGGTCACGTGACTGTGCTTCCAATTGCAAGTGACTTGGCTTGGCTCTTCTCTGTTGAGCTTAGGTCACCTCCGTGTGTGTTTACTCTTAATTCCAGGATGAGAAGGGCAGCAACTATCTGAGCCACTTTTTTTTTTTTTTTTTAGCAAAGTTGGCTGTTGTACAAGAGAGCAAGTCAAGGGAGGCGAGCACGTCTTAAGCCTCTGCCACAATCCTGTTAGGATGCTGTTGATCAAAGTAAATGACATTGTGGAGCCCAAGGACAAGAGATGGAGATAGATCCTCTGCTTTTACTTGGAGGACTTACAGAGTCAGTGGCAAAAGACTTGCATCCTGGGCAGGACTTGAGGATCTGGGGCCAACCATTTAACCTGTCAGGAAAAGACACTCATTTTTCCCCTATGAATTAGCCTGCTCGCTGCTTAGAAATTGTAGTGATGTTTTTGTGCACATAGTACTAGTGACATCAACTTTAAAGTGACAGAGAACCTGGGTCCCTTCCTCTCTGACCAAGAGGCCCCAGGGAAAGTCACTTAACCTTTAGGTAAAATGAATATCTTCTATCTCCCAGGGTCATCTGAAGATTAAATTGAAAAATATATAGACAGTACACCAAACATTAGTACTAGCCCTCTGTAAGTGCCTAGGAATTCTGAAGTTCCATTCCTCTTGAACATCTTCTAGTAGGTTCTTACATTTTCTTCAGGGACTTTATTTCTTACTTGACTATACTCTACTTTTATATGCTCTCATTTAATAGCAGTCTATTGCCTTAATTGCAGGTTTCCAGATGGATTTTTTTGTAATACCACCTCCAATATTGTAGAGGTTCTGCCTCCATTGAAACAGTTCAAGCTTGCATAAATCTATTTTCGTCTTGTTTCACCTGCAGAGGTTGCAGTTAACTAGCTTTCTGGGTTTTTATTTCATGCCTCCTTCAGGAACTGTTGGCTATAATGTTTTTTCAGTATGTGTTTATAGACTATTGATCTTGTAAAAATATTTCCTACGTACTATCATATCTTAATTCTTAAAGTTCAGTGTTGAAGAGAGTTTTTTTTGGTCCCAATTATGGCAGATGCTCCCCAGGTTTAGAGAAGAGATACAGTATTCTCCAGGTCCATGAGACCCTCCCTCTTAGAGTGATTTTATTTCTAGGCATTTCTTTAGCCGCCATGTTTATTGATATGATTGATTTTCAGAAAGATTTTTTTTTTTTCTCTCCTGTCTCTACTTCCCACCCTCACTGTGGGGCTCTAGGATCCTTCATGATGGTAAACAGCTCTGGAAGGGCCTCTGGACAGAAGGCCCACCTTCTTCTGCCCACCTTGAAGGAGAACGATACCCACTGCATTGACTTCCATTACTACTTCTCCAGTCGTGATCGCTCCAGCCCGGGGGCCTTGAATGTCTACGTGAAGGTCAATGGCGGACCCCAGGGAAACCCTGTCTGGAACGTGTCTGGCGTAGTCACCGAGGGCTGGGTGAAAGCGGAACTTGCCATTAGCACCTTCTGGCCACATTACTACCAGGTAGGCCATTTTTACCAAGGTTTGATATTTGGAATACGTCTTTATAGTCCTTGTTCTTCTTATGGTGGTTAATTCTGAAATGGACTTGCTAACTCACACATTTGACTCCTGTATTCACTGGGTTTCTCAACCTAGTTAGCCATGCAGGTGCAAAAATGACCCAGCATAGCCTCTGCCTCCATGGAGGTCATGTCTGGAGGAGACGGATGTGTGAATAAACAATTACAGCATAGCACGATGCATATGACTCCCCAGAGAGCTGAATGTAAATAGACATGGACGTTTTTATAAGCTAAATGCTTACATCTCCTTTGTGGGGCCGCTGGAAAGACTGAGGTTTAGAGAGATGAGCTAAATAGTCACAGACTACCCCCTGGGGAAGCGCTGATTGGTAGGGAAGTTAATTAGCAGTATTTTTTTTTTTTTTTTTTTTTTTTTTTGAGTACTAGGAAATGAACCCAGGGTCTTCATACTGAGCTATGTTGTCAGCCATTCCTTTGTATTTTTTTTTTTTTTTTTGATACATGGTCTCACTAAGTTGCCCACATAGGACTCAAACTTGCAATCCTTCTGCTTCAGCCTTCCAGAGAGCTGGGATTCTAGATGTATACCACTAAAGGTGGTTGAATACAGTGGTTTTTGCAGTATATCTACTAGGTCATGCAGCTGTCAGCATAAACCATTTTTAGAACACTTTTGTCATCCCCATAAGAACCCCTCTGCCCATGTACAGTGAATCCTCCTTCCCAGTGTGAAAGGTTTTAAATAGGAAAGTTACATAGTCCTGCCTCTCTAGTGTCTGAAAAAGAAGGTAAACCTAAAAGGGCAAGATTAGTGACTTGACTTAAATGTCCTCTGGTTCCATATTCAGGGTACAGCTCCCTCAGTAGTGGTAGGAATACTTTATCTATCAAAATCACTTATTGACTTATTGGGTTTACAATAACGAGATAATTCAAACATGATTTTCGTTTGCACTGGCAAGTGGAACTCAGATTTTGAAACTCAGTCAACTACAGTATTTAGCTTAGATTTTTGCCATATCCGTCTCCATTTCATCTTTATTTTTGTTTCAAAGTTAACAATATCCTTTTATTTGGGTAATATGAATGACAGTGAAAGCTCTGCTCTCAGTTTACTTTTCTTGACTTGTAGACAAGATTCATTAAGATGCCTAATTTAGAATTGCCTCTGCTTCTTCATAGCATATGATCCATGGCACATTCGTACTTCTCTTACCTTTCTTCCAAGCCACTCAGCCTGTGTTCGAATTCTATAGTTAATCTTTTTTAATAATAATTTTCTTTTATTTTGAAGTGTAAACACAAGAGCAAGAAAAACAAAAAGCAAAGACAGAAACAAGGTAACATGTAACAATACATATTGTTACAGATTTTCAAAATAAGCATAGATGATCAACAGTGATTGATATATTATCTATTTTTCTTGTCCAATCTGTTGCTCAGATTAGCAGACATAGTTATGCAAGATGGGACATATGATTGACCCATCTTGAAAACATATTACCACATGTTTTCAAGAAATCTTAAATTTTTGTTCTTTTTTATTAATTTGATTGAGAAATAAATAGCAATGAGACAGTTTCCAAACAGGTTAGCAGGAGAATTACAATAATTAATACATTGCATATTGTTGTCCCTTTCTCGGAAACTCCCCTGGCATTCATTGTTCTGTGGGCTTAGTGATGCCACTGCAATGCAACAGGGTTTATTATAAGGGAAACCTGCTCTCTCTCTCTCTCTCTCTCTCTCTCTCTCTCTCTCTCTCTCTCTCTCAGAAATTCACTGCATCTCCTCTCTCATTCATTCCACCATTCCTTTAAACACCAAGAACTCTCTGTCATCTTATAGAGGCCTCTTTGGGCTGGCATGGGAAAGAGTGCTTCCTCATTTTGCTCTCTAAGTAATTCTTTCCCATGACAAGGTGTATGGTCTTCTTCGTAAGAGTTCTGATTAGGCAGTAGTTTTCTCATTTAAGAGAACTTTTGCAGTCCCTTGATATTTTTTGTCCTATGTGCTCTCTGTTCAAGAAATACAACAGGATAAAATACCAGGTCCATTAAATCACAAGCTGGCCTGTCCACACCCCTGCCTCAATGCACAGAACCCATCTTTACACAGTTCTGTGTAAATATCTCTTGGCTTCTTTTGGGAAACTTTTATTGGCTTTTCCCATTCCTCATTCATGGGGAGAGAGTTTTGTGCCTTTATGTTCAAGCCCACTTCCCCAGCACCTGAACCGGGAGGTCTCTGAGGAGGTTCCAGAGCGGCCCCATTTGCAGTTACAGTAAGTCCACATGGCAGCCTAGGTGTTGGACAATGTTCTTCACAGAACTTGAGATTCCCAACTGAGGTCTTCTAACTTGGCCCCTGTGCTTGGGGTCTCTGCTTCTGTGTACTGACTTAAACCCCAGTGGGGATCAATTGGCTACCTCAGTCCTCTCCTGCCTTTCCCCCAGGAGCAGCCGACATTAGCATATACTCTAGACTTCTCTTCCTGCTCCCTTGTCCCTCTCCTCCCTTGTCCTCACTTTCATTCCTCAGGGTGCTCAGTTTGAATCTCCTTGTGAGTATGGTTGGCCAAAGATGAACGCTCTGTCTGTCTTCAGAACTCTTGAATAGGTCTTTGCGTCTCAGCGGGTCCTGGTACCCTCCCATGACTTTGTGGTATCTGTCCTTAGGAACTAGAGGTGGCCAGGGCATGGGTGGGGTTTTCTGTGATCAAGACCCCCCCACAGCAATGCACAATGACAGGGCAATCCCCTTTCCCCTAAGCTGCACATATCTCCCGGGGCACCTTCTGAAATTCCCCTGTGCCATTTAAATTTTTTTCATTCATAGCTAATTGCCATTCCATTTTATCTGTTGTGAATTACCTGCTGAAATCATTTGTCAGGTTTTTTTTTTGGAAGGTTTATCCTTTTTTTGATTCTCAGTAGTCTTTTGCACACACAAAAAAGGATATATTCCTTGTAGCTGGCATATGTATTAGAAGCATTGTTCTCAGCTTGTCATTGGCTTCCAATTTTGTTTCAGACTTTTGTTAAGATTTAAAGCATACTTTGACATCATAGTTATTAAGAAGATATTGTATAACTTTAAGAAATTGATTTTTAAAACTTCATCATTATTTTCTAGTTTTAGTAAATTTGATTAGAGAATATATAGACTGAAACCTATATAATTGTATTCTTTGACATACTTAGTGAAGTAATGCTGTGGTCTACTTTATGATCTGATATATATATATATATATATATATATATATATTTCTTTTTTTTTTTGTGACAATGTCTTGCTAGGTAGTTCAGGGTCTAACTATGTATGGCCTTCAACTTACTATGTAGCCCAGGCTGGCCTTGAACTCATGGTGATCTCCTGGCTTCAGACTCCCAAATGCTGAGATTATGTGCATGCTGTGATCTTTCCCATAAGTCCTTTAGCATTTGGACAGAAGTTTCATGCTAATACATAATTCCTTACATGTATTTTTCAGTATTTATATTATACATCAATAACATGACACATTATGCTATATTTATAAAATATATATTGATTTATAAATGCACATGGCATCTTTGCCTTTTCTGTTTGATTAAGCTACTGAGCCATTCTGTTTTAGGTGTTTATGTTATGGCATGCGATTAGACTTTGATTATTTAGACAGTCTGAGAGATTTTCTGTATTTTAACTCATTTATATTTATTGTCAAAACCATTTGATCTTTTAAAATTTTTATTATACAGTTTGAATATGTTTATGCTATTTATTTTTAATTGCATAGATTTTATATGTTCTAGTTTTCTTCTTTTTTTCCTCTGTGGACTTTGATTTTGGTTTCCTTTGAATTCTGAAAAAAATATAGCTAGACATGTAATTCTTTATAGAAAGGCATTCTCCCTTCCAAGTACTAGGGAGAAAGCCTTTCTGTAAAGAATCACATGTCTAGCTATATTTTTTTCAGAATTTAAAGGAAATTTTCTATTGATACCCCCTTCTGAAGGTCAGGGAAGTTGCCAGAATTTTAATTTTGCAAGCTTTCACACACTTCTGTCTGTTAATTCTCTCTGAAGGACTCTACTGTCTTAATTAACCACTTTGCTAGAATGATTGCTGTGTTGAAGCGGCTCTTATGCCCCATCATTTCACATAATTCCCAGGAAGCCACATGATACTCAAGGAAGCTGCCCCTTCATTGCCATTGTCACTGGCTCCAACATTTTCCTACTCATTTGTTATGACTATTAGAGCTCCAGGTCCCACTGAGAACACGAGCTTTGAATCTACAAAACTGGATCACATAAACCACAAAAAGATTCCATAGGGAGATTTTCCTGGTGATTTCTTACACATCTTGCCTTTATCCACAAGCTTGGCTTAAACTAAGGAAAAAGACAGAGAAAAGATCTGTTTTGGTTGTCAAGGTGGTAGAGATAAAAACTGAAGGTAGGCTACACCAGAACAATGAGATTGATGGCTGGTTGGTTTTGACCTATAAACGGCAGCTTCCTAAGGTCCATCTTAATAGCCAGGGTAGAAAGACAGGGGAAGATTTAACAAATGGCAGTATTGACTTTTGTCAAGTGAAAAAGGAACTGAGCAATAAGGCAAAGGAGGTCTACAGACTGATGGTAGATTAGTCTCAGATTCATGAGAAAAACCATGACAGTGAAACATCCTCTGAGCCCAGATAATAGGGAGATCCAAAAGTGAAGAAGTAATGAACACTGACAATTGTAGAGGAGTGGTTAAATAGCAATAATTAGAGTAGACATTTGTTGAGAATATTCTATTGTTCAAAGTAGAACATTAAGTCCTTTAATAGGAAAAAATTATACACTGAGGTAGTATTGTAATTACAGACAAACGGGGCCACAGAGCAGTAAGGTATCTCACCCAAGGTCACATACCTGTGAGTGCCACAGCCAGGACTCCAACCCAGGCATTTTGATCCTAAGCTCAAGCATTACATCCTCTTTCTTCTCAAAGCAACATACAGTGTGGAAAAAATATTCTCAGGACTCAGCAATTAGCATATTGCTGATGATGGTCATGAAAGCAGTTTTTTGGGGAGTGTGTGGTCCTGGAGCCAAAATCCAAATTATTTGGCTGGCTGATGTGTTATAGGATAGAGTAAGGAATATTGTGAGTGAGTTTTGATTCAACTACTGATAATTTGAAGTGTGATTGAAACACACCTGGCCAATAATAGGGAAGAATGTACTACAGAGGAGTATTTTTCAAGAAAAGAAGCCCAAGCATTTACATATGTCAAGGTCAGGGATGAAAGAGATGGTTTGATGATACAAGATAAAGAGAAAACTGAGAGAACCAAGAAGCTAGAAAATGAAGTGGGGCATCAAAGTTAAGAGCACTGGAATTTCCTGCAGAGAAGAGATTGCTGTTGGTGTGAGTAAAGATTAAGTGGGTAGAGAGCAGCCCCTCTCTTGTCCTCCTGCCTCTTAAAGATGCAATGTCTGCTGGAATTGGAGGGGTGGATCTGCAAAGGGGGCATTTGTGTGGGGTTATGGTAGTGGAGAATGTTACATATGAACCCATGCAATTGACCAGACCAGGCATTCTGAAGATTTATTGGGGGCAGCAAGCAGGCTGGCTGTCTAGTGGAGCAAGACAGCAGCAAACAAGGCAAAGCACAGGGCTTTTAAGGTGTTGGGGGAGGGTGTTTGTGTGCTGGAACAGCAGAGGGAGAGCTAATCTTGGCAGGGCTACCTGATCTGTGGGGGGACTCTTGATGTTAATGAAGGAGAGTTTCTGTGGTTGCTTCCCAGGTTAAAGTCAGGTGGACTTGTTCTGAGGTTTTGGGCTTGGTTCTGCATGGGGCATAGGGGGAGGGATTTTGGGGACAGGGTGCCTGGGAAACTGAGAGAGAGTGTTTGGGGCAGGGTGCCTGGGAAACTTTGAGTCCTGACCTACCAGAAAAGACAGATTTGCCATAAACTCAAAAATGTTGGGATAAAGATATAGAGGAATTGGGGCTTATGCAGGAGTTGTGTGGGTGTTAGCCAACATGGTGGGCAAATGTGGGCTTGTGGAGTGTAGATTCTGGAGTAGAACTCAAGATAGCATGTGAGCCCAAGAGGCAGATTAAAGAAAAGTGAATTAGGGGTGGACGGTGGAGTATGAAATTATATCCAAGTGTGGAAAGGGGGAAATTCCAAGTTTTAGAGTGGGAAAAGGGAAAGCTGAGGATGCAGTTTCAAGGGCTTGGAGATGAAGGTACCTGTAATTAGGGAGGACAAAAGTGTTGCCCACAAAGCTGTTCATATCCCCTACATGAAGATAAAGCTTGGGTGAGAGGGAGGCTGTTCACTGAATTATGAATAATTTTAATAAGAAGTGAGGTTGGAGTCAGAGTAAAGAATTCAAAGAAATTATGGCCCTCTATTCCTAGAGACCAATAGGTAGGTTGTTTCTTATTATTAAGTGGTGTTATTAGGAAACCCAGATGAGTATGTTACTTGGAAATGTAGAATTAAATCAGAATGAATCTCCTTGGCTTATGCTAATTTCCAAGGTAAGCATCTTTCTCATCCTTCAGAAGCAGGTTAGGGCATTCAGAATTGGTTCTTCCCTGTGCCTCATTTAAAATCACAATGAAAAAGGTGCAAATTGGAGTCCCTGGTCCAAGTTCAGGTTGTTTTTCCTGCATTAAGTGTTATTTTCTGAAATCCATTGAAAAGGTTCCATGTGGCTGTCATCTGTCATTAGTTACCAGAGTATGGTCTTTTTGCCTTGTTTTGAAAATCTAACTGCCAGGGCAGCATGCTGTCCCAGCATAGGGTTTCTTTGGTTGTGGTTCTAATGGGAAGCTGAAACATAAAGGAACTGGGGAGTGGGTAGCCACCTAAAATGAATGCCTAAAACAGCTTCTGTAAAATTGACTCCTGCCCTGTGTGTTGCAGGTGATTTTTGAATCCGTCTCTTTGAAGGGTCATCCTGGCTACATCGCAGTGGACGAGGTCCGAGTCCTTGCTCATCCATGCAGTAAGTCTGTCCCCTTCCCCAGTGTGACCTTGCTCTATACCAGCCTCGATAGGCTGCACCTCCCCTGTTCATTCAGCTCATAACCATCTCTCACTCACTCCTTCTTTTAATCCTTCCAAAACGCTTATATACCCAGTGCAATCAGTCCTGAATAAATCCATAATTTTGCTGGCCTGTTCAACAGGCAACACCTCTAGGAATTTGCAGTGTGGTAAAACATCTTCGTTTGAATCTCTCTCCATTATTAAAAGACTCTGAAGTCCTGATTGTTTATTAGTGGGATTCAGACCACTGAAGTGGAAGAATTAGAGGGCTTTGGATAGAATCTTGTGCAATTGTCTTAAAAAAAGGAATGACACCAAAACACTGAGCAAATTAGCACACTGTTCACTCACAGGGAAAAGCACCCCAAAGCTATTAATTCTTTAAAAATAATTTAAAATATACTCATCATCTCCGTGTAGGCGTAGAGAGAGATTTCTGCTGGTGGTTAGTACTTATGGTACAGTGTCAAGAATACTCAGAGGTACACCATCCTCCATATCCAGCCATCTTCCTCTTGAAGTTCCCTCTCTGCAGAATTTAGTCGAAGGCACTTGAATGTGTTTCCTTTCACCCATTGTATCAAAGGGAACAAGTGCGGACTGAAGGCAGTTGTGATGACATCATGTCTAGAGACGTTTGTTCCAGAGGATTGTAATAAAAGGATATGCATGGGGATTGAGGCCTCTCACAGAAAGAATAGCTGGGATTCTAGCCTCTTAGTACTCTGAATTTTGGAGATTCCTGTCATTTTTTAGGTAATCGCCTGGCTCCAGGTAAGCTAGGAGACCTCTTATTCTCCAGGTATGATCGTGTGTCCAAGGGCCATTTAGCTTTTGGTTACTGTAAAGAGATATCAGAGGCAGGATGCTTTTATAAAGAAAATTAGTTTATTTAGCTGACAATTTTAGAGTTCAATGGCAGGGCGATGGCATTGGATCAGATCTTCTGGTAACCTTCTTGCCGGCAAAGTCCTGGAGCAGCATGGAGCAGCACATGGCAAGAGACAAGGAGTGGATATGCCTGTGTGGTCTCTGTCCCTTTTCTTTTTATTTATTTATTTATTTATTTATTTATTTATTTATTTATTTTTGGCCCACTCAGCCCACTCTGAGGGCAGGGCTGGTATGACTTGTGGTGCCAGGGATTGAACTGAAGTCCCCTGTGCCTACCTAAGCTTGCCTAAGCAGGTGCTTTAGACCGCTGAGCTATCTCACTGGCCCCTATCCCTTTTCTTGTAATGACACCAAGATTTAATCATTAGTGCTTCACCCTAATGGCTTTACTGAGGTCCCTTCACTTTCCAAAAAACCCTACCTTGAGACATCACAGTCAGAATAAGTGGCCAGTGACTTTGGGGATTAAAGTCTTTTGTGGGTTGAAGCATAACCAGAGTTTATGCTGTGGGCTATGGTGTGGCTTGCTCTTACTTCAAGAGACATTTATATGTTTTTTTTCCAGAACAAGGGATTAAACTCCAGCCCTTGTGCTTGCCAGGGAAGCGCTTATTCTACTGAGCTCTTTCCAGCCCCCTGTATGTGTTTTTCTTCGGGTCCTTGTAATCCTTCCATCTGGGAGCTGCTCTGATATCAGCCACACCTATCTTGCTCTAATTGAAATGACTTTGTCCACTTTGCCGCTGTGAACCTGTCAGACCCTCAAACACTACATCTTTCCCTTTTCCTGGTGGTAGCATGCCATAGTGTCATTCACTGTCTTTGAGCATCTTCTCTGGAGACACTGGGATAATATACATATACATGAGTTCTCCTTACCAGGAGAACTTCCGGGATGTATCTCCTTCCTGGATGCCTGAGAGTTAGCATCAGCTGTGAGGGATCCTTGTTTAAGACTAGACAGCTTTCAGGAGATATCTGCTCTACCTGTGGCCCCTTTAACTGTACCATCAGCCATGCAAGGTCCCCAGTTTTCAGCAGTCTCCCTGAAACAAGCCTCCCGTCTTCTGTCCCTTTGTGCATTCATCTTCATGGAGCATCTACCTGAGTTTCTGCTTTATACCTTTATGCTGGATGCTTGGGCTTGGTCATTCCAGTAGGTGACACTTGGCTTTTCCAAGCAGAATGGAGCATGACTTTCTTTCCCTCAGTCCCAGAACTCTGTGCTCTAGTGGGGATTTTTACCTCTACCATAGCACCCAACCTTGTTACTATGTCTTGCTCAAGTCTGTAAAAGCTCTATTTTAGGTTCTGACACTGTCCAAAGTTGCCACTGCAGAGAAAAAAAGTACAACTCCATTCTCCCTGTTAGGTCCCCAAGGAGAGGATGTTCTCCGGATGGCATTTGAATGCCTTTCCACCTCCTGAGTCTCATGGCTCCCTTGGACTCCTCCTTTCATTGGTGCTGCCGTGAATTTAGGATTCTTCTGACAACTTCATCCTCCTCCTGTTGAGAAGTATGGATTGCTTGGTTATAGAATTGCTGAAAGCCAGTTACCCAGCAAATGGGCCATGGGATATAATTCAGAAAGATGTGGCCCTGGCTTTATTCCTGCATAATGTGCTTTGCTGAGTTCAACCTCAGTTGCTTAGCGGCTTAAGAACAAATTTTCCAGAAACCACAACATGGGGCTTCTGGAAGAGTGGCTAAAATTAGGAACATCTCACTTAATTACATGTGGAAAATTTTGGCAACATGTGTAGTTATCTGATGCGTATTCTTAGCCCATGGATATGTGGAGTTGAGTAAGGCCTAACAAAGGTCCCTGCCAATGACCAGTGTTCAATTAGTGCATTTGAAGCCCATTAGTTTTTCTATCCTTTCTTTCAGCAAGTAGATTATTGAATGTGTGCTGTGTATTCAAGAACTGTTCTGGGTAGAGTGTTTACTTAAGACAGACAAGTTAGGACCTTGTACTCATGATGTTGACTTAGCAAAATGGTAGTACGAAGGCAGGCACTAAATGAGTAACTTACATTAAGCAAGTAATTAATAATTTCAAATAGTGATAAGTGCTATGAACATAGTAAATATGAACAACTATGATTGGAGGGTTCCTTAGGTAGAATGGTCACGGGAGATATCTTTGAAATGACCTTGAGCTGAGACTGGAATCATAGGAAGGAACTTCTTGTGCAATGAGTTGGGGAATGGAGCATTCCAAGAGAGGAGGCAGATGTGCAGGAGCCCTCAGGTGGGATCTGATGTGTCCTAAGTATGTGGAACAGAGCAGAAAGGGGTCCAAGTAAACATGCAGCCTGACCGACCATTCAGGGCCTTGGGCACCATCATGAACAGTGTAGATGTTAATCTGAGTAGAGGGCGGCATACTGGAGATAGCCATGGCATCAGTTAGTTGCTGTGTGAGAAATGATTTGAAGAGCCATAGTGATGAAGAGAACTGTGATGAAGAAAGATCTGGAGCCATGCAAGAGAGGGCAGAAGGTGGACCAGAGTGTTGACGAGCCATGCAGTTATCAACCAACAACTATTTAGTGAGCATGTAGTTAATGCCAGGCACTGGGTTTATGGGAGTGTGTTCTCTTTTCATTCTCTTTTCTTACAAGCTTCCATTGAAATAAAAACAAATAAAAGTAAAACAAGGAATGAGGTAATTATATGATCCACAACAGCTGGTGAGTTACTTTGCTAGGCTTGCCATTACAAAGTACCATAGACTGAGTGGTGTAAACAATCCAAGTATATTTTCTTACAGTTCTCAAGGCTACAAGTCCAAGCTCAGGGTCCAAACCAAATGCACAGATTTGGTTTCTTGTGAGTCCTTTCTCCTTGGTTTACAGATCTTCTCCTCCTCACTGTGTCCCCACATGGTCCTCAGTGTGTGGTCCTTGGTGTTTCTCCTTGTGTCCCAAATTTCCTCTTCATATAAGCACAGTCAAGTTAGATGAGGGTTGCCCCCACATCAGTGACCTCATTTGAACTTGATCATTTTGCCCTTGATCATTTCCAAATATAGTCACGTTGTAAAGCACTGGGGATTAAGGCATCAACGTATGAATTTGGCAGGGGACACAATTTAGTCCATGGCAAATGGTAGGGAGTGCTATGAAGAAACATAAAACATAGAATAGTAAGTGGTGGCTGGATTACAGATGCATACAGGCACCTGCGGTAACTGGTCTTATTTGATGAGTTAGGTTGGAGACCAACCAAAGTGCAAAAGAAGTCTGCTTCCAGATCTCTGGCTTAAGGAAGGTGGTGATGAAAGGCTAAGGAGAGCTGAGTGTGGCCTTGGAGGCCGCTCATGAGAGTAAACATCATACCATATGTGGTATCTTGTGACCTGATCTTTATATTGAAAGTTCTTTCCCAAACCTCAGCCTTAGAATCGATGGATTGTGGCTTTTTTCCCTTTAAGTCCTCCAGCTTTTAATTCTTCTCTCTGTCCTTCAAAACATGCTTTCCATTAATATATGACCAGAGTTTATCAAGAAGTGAGTCCACTAACTATCCCAAAAGTTTAGGGGGCTGTGAATGTCTGATTTGCAAATTGCATCCTATATTGATTAGAGCTGAAGATATGACTTCAAATACTTGCCTGAAAGTTTCCAAATCTTCTTTCAGTGATGGACACTCTGGTGTGATACTCAAAGGAAATCATTTTCTCTTACCACCCCACAATCTCTCTATATTTTGTCACCCATTCAACATTTTTTTGTTACTCCAAAAGTGCTTTAGCCAACAGTGACTATTGCTGCCATTTTTCAGCATTAGCCATTAGCAAAGCCTGTGCAGTTAAAACTGTGTACGATAAATGTCAGCACAATTTTGCACTTGGTTTCAAAGTTTCTAACACCTAAGTTGACTTTTGGAATTCTTAAAATCTATTTTTCTCCTATCACAACCTTGCAGGACATGTCCCTGAGCCCATGGAGCATTGCAACATGTTTCTAATGTACATACTCAGCTTTATCTTCAATTGTGTGGCTTCCTACCGAGCTCTGTCAGGTTTAAAGAGCGAGAGAAAGGGCACAATAATACGTCTTCAGATACTGCACTGACATCTGCAGGAGTTTAAATGTCACCAGCATTTTGCCCCAAATGCACAGCCAGCTTTCTCTTAACCCCATTCTGAAGGATCTCATTCTTGGGGGAGCTGAGTTTCAGAGGGGAGGGGGTGGGGGATGCTTCAGATCACAGCTGGTGGCGGGCCTGGGTACGGAGGCTGTGTTTGGCTGAAGGTTGGTGAGCTGAAGCTGGTGGGATGATTTCTGTCCCAGAGCTGAACAGAGGTATGGGGGGAGAAATAATGGAGGAAGTGTTCAATTGAAAAGGAGAATGGTGTCGGGGAAAGGACAAAGAGGGTAAGGGAGACCAGGAGCTGAAAGAGGAGGACTACACAGGTCTGCAGCATGAGGAGGATCCCCAGAGAGATATCTGTCATGTGCCAGGGATGAGATCAGGCCTCCAAGAGCACACAGAGGGGTGCAGGCCCACAATGAGGGCGCTGTGTGAGAAGAGGCTGGTTGGGGTCATTACCTGGATTTAGGGCTCACGTTCACTCAATCCCTACAGTGTGGTGTGTGGAGGGCTAGAGGTGTCATTGGGTAGTGGGACCAGATGAAGCAAGGATGGCCAGCAGAAATTGTTCTGGGTGACTTATGTAAAAGCATTATATCAGAAACTGCAGACTAATAGAGCCTGCCTGCTGATGTGTTGTGTTAAATTTGCATGGTATTTAAAAAAATCAGTCATGATTTTAGATTAAAATAGTGCACAAAGTATTTGCATTTCTCTTGATATGTGCACCCCCCCAGCCCCCCATTAAAGCACTCTTGTCTCCCTGCCTCTCTCTGCTGGCCTGGAATAGCAGCTGCTTTCTGTGGGACACCAGGTCTCTTGGAATTGATGACCTCTACCACTTGTTAAGTTTGTTTGAGTGTTGGCTTCTACCTTTCTAGCAGGGAGATCAGGCCCCCACCACTGTCTGTTGCCTTCCCAGTGTTGAGGCTGGTGTCAGACACCAGATCTAATTGTGCTTGCCATACTGTTTTCCTTACAGTAGAAAAGTCTTTATTTTACCCACATTTCTGTCAAAAGTGGGAAAATGAAAAATAGAGCAAAGAGGTGGGGCTTCTATTTTGATTTACAACATACCCACTTTCTTAATTTACTCAACTGTCTAGCTCTTGTGGGTGACATCTCTGCTGTAAATCACCAGCGGTTCCCCAGAATATGAATACCAGGGGCCATTAAACATCTAAATTCTGAATCAAGAAGGGAGAAAGGAGAAGGATGAAGGATGAAAGAGTCAAGACAAAAGGTCTGTGGTGAGAAAGGAGAAGTGGGAGGAGAGGAGTAAGGAACAAGTTGGAAACAATGATCTGGAGAAGGTCTGTTTCTAATTACTCACGTCACAGAGCTTAATTGCTTGCCCAGCTTCCCAAAGGGTCAAGGAAAAGCACCTCTTTGTAAAACTTCACACAAAGATTCCCAACACTGGAGCCAATGATCTGATACCCTTCTGCGATGGGGCGGATGTTCCTCTCCAAACCTGTGGCATAAACTGATTTACAAGGTTCACTCTATTTCTCTTGAAGAATTGACCTGAACTGATAGTTCCAAAAATAACTTCATAAAATTATACAGGAGAGCCAAAAGAAAACAATTTCAGGCAATCAAAGCAGCATGATATTTGTCAGGTTGCTGCAAGAATCTTAAACTCTGAGAAGTCCACAAGGAGCGGTCTTCCCTGGGCCTTGGACCCTGGAAGCCACTCTAGCCACAGGGTCCTGAAGGTAGCATGTGGGTTCTCTGAGCTGTTGTCATTAGTTTAAACACCTGAGCAGAAGGTGTCTATTTTCTCCCAGCAAGTGTGCCTGATCACACCGAGGTTTCTGGCTTTTGCGGAGCTTTACAGGTGGTGACATAGTTTGGTGGACAAGTTCTGTTCAAAGCAAGAAGCCAAGCAAGGAAAGGGGTCACTCAAAAATATTCAGGAGGGGCTGGGGAGATAGCTTGGCAATACAAGCTGACCCTGGCTTCCTGGGTGCACTTTGCAGGCTCCAAAACTGGGTGTGGTGGTGCATGCTTGTAATACCAGTGCTCGGGACGTTGAGACAGGAGGATCACTCCAAGTTCGAGCTGTGTAGCGAGAAACTGTACCAACAGAATAAAAAATAAAAATTAAAAAAATACCAAAATATTCAGGAACAATGACAGGAGCCTGGAGAGTCAGTACAACCTTGCCTGGGAGCCTGATGTGTCCAGGAGTGCTGTCTTCAGCCTCGGGATGAAGGGAACGTGCTACATAGAATCTGAGTTGGGGGCTCAAATAGAACTGGAGTGAGTTCCGGTTCTCTCTTTCACTGATTCTGGGTAGCTTTGGGAATATTAAATTTGTTTGAATGTTGGCTTCTACCTGTCTAGCAGGGAAATGACAGCAGTATCTGCTTCACTGGGTGTGATAAGGTTGAATTAGATAAAACATGCAGAGTATCTATCATACCTGGTCCTGAAGGAGCTTTTGGTGAATGAGATTATTGTTAGTGTTTATCTCTCTGTGTTTTAACTCCCTCTGGAAAGATGGTGTGTGGATCCTCTGTGATCATCTCAGAACTTTCTGCTGGGTCCCATGCAGGACTGGTTTAGTACACGTTCATCAATGGCTTTGTCAGTGTTGGTAGGGACCCTTTACTGTGCTCAACAAAGAAACACTTTGAGTCATGTGTGGTGAGCTGGTGGAGAACTAACATTGCTGGTATTTGGAAAGCAAACAAGGGAAAAGGTGAATCCAAGCTACCCAATATAAAACATACATTTAATCCTAGGACTGATTGCCCAGAGACATTGATTTTCATTTGAAAGCCCTTTCTTTGACTGTGGCGTCCCAGCATCCATGTCCCACTGCCCACACTTGCTCAGGCGGTGCCATTGCTTAGTGGTAAGAGTAAACTGTGGGCTCCCGCGACCTTGGGGAAGTTTCTGGATCTCTCTATATCTCTGTTCCCTTACACACAGTAGAGTCCCACCAGCAGTGACATGGGGTTAAATGAATTACTGCACATAAATGCCACAAGTGGCACCGGTTCCACGGCAGTACCCAGTGACTGCTAGCTAGTAGTGTTCTCTTTCTTTCTCCTCTCCTCCACATTTCATTCTCCACATCTTTGTTAGCAGCTGCATCCCCAAGGCCAAGTACAGATCTCAAGCCAAAGGTGCTCTCCTTCAGCTTTAGTTTTTGTGCTCTCCCAGGGAGCAGGAAAGATCCTTCTATGGCGAAGATCTTCCCCCCACCCTTCTCCAATCTTTTGCCTTCCTAGCTCTGAGTTCGCTGGTTCCATCTTTCATCTGGTGCCAGCCCCAGAGGCAGTAGTCAATTTGGATGTGTTTTAGGGTACATGTGCCAGTTCAGCAGAATGATATCACACAGCAGCTGGTGACAGGCCTCGAGGGTCTCAGAGCCCTGGATTCATGTCTTGCTTCCCTCCTTTCTGGGTGTCTGACTGTGTGAAGCTGTCTAATCTCTCAGACGCTATGTGTGTCATTCTGTGAAGTGGGGATTTCATGAGGGGCTTGGGGGAGGTGACACGTGCAGCATCCCTGTACTGGTGCTTGTCTCTGTAGGTGACCCATCAGCCATTCAGGGATCCAGGCCTCTTCCCGGGCACCCTTTTCATGCTGCTCTTCTTCAGCTGCCAGCCATGACAGGGAAGTGTTGCAAGCTGTTGAATCCCATCCTCATGTGTCCTTCTGTTTCTGTCTTAGGAAAAGCACCTCATTTTCTGCGACTCCAAAACGTCGAGGTGAACGTGGGGCAGAATGCTACGTTTCAGTGCATCGCTGGTGGGAAGTGGTCTCAGCATGACAAACTTTGGCTCCAGGTAAGAATGGAGGCAGTGCTTACTCCTACCAGCCCTTCCCTCTGTAAAGGAGGAAAGCATGGGATACGATGAAGGGTTTGGTGGTACAGGGAGGGGATATTTTAAAGTACCTCTGCTGCTTAAGTGCTGCTTTCTATCCATGAGGTTGTTAATCTTCACTACAATTCTTTTAGTTTAGCATCTGTGCACCCATTTCATAGATGGATAAACTATGGATAAACCTAAAAATTCCAGATCTAGAAGTTATGACTGTAACTTACCCTAACAACTCTCTTACAAAGTTTGTCTTTTTTTTACATTAAAAAATGTTTTGTTTTTATTTGTTGATTAATTTTTTCCCATAATTTAATTGAGAAATAAATAGCAATGAGACAGTTTCAAATCAAATTCAAAGTTTGTCTTTTAAGGCCCAATAAGCAGGTGTAAGGCAAAGTGAGCATTTTAGATTCTGAGTATGTAACATCACAAAATACTGATGTTGTTTATAAAATACACACACACACACACAGAGACACAGACAGACACACAGACAGACAGACACACACATGCACGTGCACACATACACACAGACAGACAGACAGACACACACACACGCACACACACGTTTACCAGTTAACAATACTCTTCTTTCCGAATGTATCACTAAAACAAATAGTCTGTTTTCTGGTTAAATGAAACCATTGATGACATCCATCAGGAAAGTATTTCAAGCTTGAATTTCTTTTTCTATTTATTCCTTGATGTTCATTCATTAGCAAGATGAGAAGGAATCTGTTTGGGTAAGAGGCAAAGGCAAGCAGTGGAAGGCAGGACTAGAATACACACCTCACTGCCTCTAGCATAGTCTTGCCAATATGAACACAATTGCTATGTCCTGGGGCAACACAGAGGTGAGAACCGTTACCACGAGCTTCATATGGCAGTAGCTAGTCTCAGTACTCTGGGAAGCTGAGGCAGAAAGGTCACAAGTCCTAGTCCAGCCTTTGCAACTTAACTTAATGAGACTTTGTCTCAACATGAAAACAAAACGGAGGCCCTAGTTTCAATTCCCAGTAGCACCACCCAAAATATTTTTTTTTCTTAAGTAGCTTTATTGAAGTATAATTGAGACGTAATATTTTATTCAACTTGTAAGTGTGATGTATGTGTACAAGTGAAACTATTTCCACAGTCAAGTTGTTCTACATAAGCATGAACACCCAAAATTTCTTTTTCCTATTTTAATCCTCTCTCCTTCCAACCCCACCACAATACATCATAGGCAACCACTCTTCTGCTTTTTTCCATTTTATGTTTACCAGATCGAGAATTTTATATAGATGGAGTCATGCAATATATACACTCCACTCTACCGGATGTTGTGATTCTGATATTTAGATAGATTGTTGAATCTATCTGTTCTTTGTTTAGTTAGTTAATGCCGAGAAACATTCCATTGTATGGTTATACCAGAGTTTATCATTCATTCATCTGTCACAGACACCTGTTGGAATTTTTTTGCAGTTTGGGGCTATTACAAGAAAATTGCTGTGAACATTCATGTGCAAATCTTTGTGTGGACATAGTCTTTCCTTTCTCTTGTGAAAACATCTGACAATGGAATGGTCGGGTCCCCAGGTAGATGGATGTTTCACTTTTTAAAGAACAGCAAGCTGTTTTCAGAATAGTTGAGCCATTTTGCCTTCCTACCAGCAGTTTAGAAAAGTTCCAGTCACCATGCAGTGTCACCAGTGTTCACGATGGCCAATCCTTTTAGTGTAGCCATTTGAATAGATGTGTGCTGGTCATTCTTCCTGGTTTTAAATTTCATTTCCCTGATGACTGAGGATGCTGACTGTTTTCATGTGCTCATTTGCCCAAATAGCTCTGTGTACTCTTTGATGGGAGTTCACACTGTCACCTCTCTTCTTAAATTTGAGCCATTTCCTGCAGTTAGAAGCTCCCTAGGGGAGAAAAAGCCCATCTAGGGACTAATAGTTCTTTCTTGCTACTTTATACCACAGCAAACTGAAATGCACCACATGTTCCTCCTCCTAAGTCGCTCTGGTATTACGTAGTGTTATTTACTCTTTTCATTATAATTAGCTTTAAAGTGCTGCTTGGACCCAAGAAGCTTTGTCATTTCAATGGCGTTGCCTCAGCGAGGTCATGATAACAAACCGGGAAGATCACAATATTTTGAGCAACTTTGCATTTTCCAATTATATTATGATTGTTATTGCTGCAGTTCTGAGTTGCGAACCCTAAACCTTAGATCCGTTAGAGCAAGGATGTGAAAGCAGAACATAATGGAAATTCTGAGGAAAATTGATAGAAACACACAGTGTACAGCTCTTCCACATCTTATTATTTATTTATCTACTTTTCAATGTAAACCAAATCTTATTTCACAGAACGTTTTTCAGGTGCCTTACAGTGAGATATAAAACATGACAAGCCAGCATAAATTAAAAGTGAGGTACCACAAGATGGAAGGAAAAAAAAACTACACTGAAGCTGATCATCATGCAAAAACTGCATTTCTGCACACCTGCTATTGTAGAGTGGGTCACAGACTGAGCCCGCAGCATCACAGCCAGCAACGGAATACAGAAAGCTTGTCAGATGTACACTTGCGCAATGTCTGCGAGATAAACACAAACCAATTGCTCAGGAAAATTCTAACTGTTGTTCACACAGAGGCCAGACAGGGATTGTTCCCCAGAGTCCTCATAAAGAAAACACTGTGCGATGTAATGAACAGCATCCTGAGCACAGGCTTTCTGAGTGGGTTTCATAGCCCTGTTCCACATAATGATGTCCTGTGTAAAGGCAATCTGGGGAAGGGAGGGGAGGCGGAGGGGGCCGGTGGGGACAGCCATGCCAGAGGTCCCCAGTTTTCTGCTAATCTAGCTCCATCCTGGGATGCTTTAGACATAACTAGTGAGCGAATATACTTGATAAATATTTCTCTAAGGAAATCTCTCTAAGTATTGTCTCTCTCATCCGTATTTCAGGGAATATTGAGAAGGAGAATATTTTTATTACACTCTCCGGCAAATGCTTGTATGGCTAGTTAAGTCTGGGCTTCTGTACCACAGTATGTTCAGCAATCGGCTGTACCCATCATAGGGTTCCTCAGAGAAAAAGAACCAGTAGCAGTCTGCTCATGAATGCACGCACAGAAAGATTTATTATGAGGAATTGCCTCACAGGATTGTGAAGATGGAGAGGTCCTACAAACTGCTGTCTACAAGCTGGAAAATTCAGAAAGCTGAGGGTGTCATTTCACTACAAATCCAGAGGTGCTGATATACAAACCCCAGGTTAAGGGTGAAGGCCGGTAGGCCGGCTCAGACACGTGGGCAGGAAGGAAAGGGGCAAATTCCTCCTTCTTTGGCTTTTTTGTTCTATTCAGATCCCTAAACAGAACCCACTTTGGGGACATCAGCCTATGTTACTGAATCCTCTGGTTCAAGTGTTGATTTCAACCAGAAGCACCCTAGCAGATACACTCAGAAACGTTGCTTTACCTGGGCAGCCTTTGTCCCAAGTTCACATGTAACATTAGTCAGCACAGAGATTAACATCTTCCTACAAAATAGGAGGTGCCTGTCAAGGCATTACCACCAGAAGATGGCTGTAGTCCCAGTGTGAGACAGGCCAAGACAACACAGATATGTAAGGGGGCCATAGGCTTTAGAAGACTTGCTGGGGTAACAGCCTGAGAGTTTCTAAAGCAGGTGAAATGGGCACACCATGGCCAACAGAGTAAGCCTATGACATGTGCAGCTGCTCCAGGCATTAGTAGTGGTATTTCCTGGTATAACTTCCACTGTAAGCTCAGTAATTTCGTCATCTCACCAGACATAGGAATTTCTTAATCTACTGCTTTGAGTCAGGAAAGAGTCTTGGTTTTCAAAAATGGGTATTAGGGGCTGGAGAGATGGCTCAGTGGTCTAAAGCACCTACTTAGAACAAGCTTGGCAAAGCATCAGGGACCACGGTTCAATCCCCCAGCACCACATG